AGCAGGAGGCCCCATTAGCTAAAGTGGCGCTTCAGGTTAAGAACAGTTTCAGATTAAGAACGGACCTCCAAAACGAATTAAGTACTTAATCCAAGATACCACTGTATACTGTCCTTGCATAAAATACTGAAAAATTGAGAAAACCTAGTTTTCCGGGGCTTCACAGAGGGAAGTTTTCAAAATGTGGGTAGATGCACAGCTGCCCCTTCAGCCCACAGCATCAGATAATTAGAATTAGGACTTGACATTTTCTAATTTGAAATAGGTTGTATTCATATTGTCAATGTTCTGTAGTATTATGTTCACTCTTATCTCTGTTAATGAATTTTTTTTTCTTTTTAATCTCAAGTACGTTTCTATGAGGGTGTGGTAGAACTTTCTCTCATGGCTGCAGAGAAGAAAGATCCCCAAGGTCTTGGACTCCATTATTACAAAAATGGAGAACCAGAGGAAGATGTTGTTGGATGTCAGGCTTTCCAGGAAAGGCAAGTTTTGGGTTACAATTGAAATTTTCTTCAGGGCAGAGAATGAATGAATGAATCTTTATTTGTGTCAGCAGTTGGCCATAGCAATAAAACAACAATACGCTATACAAAAAATAAAAATAAAAAGTCAGTTATATAAAATACATTTTAGGTGTTGAATCAATAGTCAAATAGTGGATCTTATTCTAATTGTCCCAGCTAAAAACCTTGCAACCTTTGCTGTCACCTGCTCATCTTGATCTGCCAAGAGAAAGGACACTGTGGCAGTGGCTGGGCGACCCGGAATGGACATTAAAAGAGGGGTGGTAATCTCATTCCTCAAGTCCAGGAAGGCATGCGCCACCGATTTGGTGCTGCCATCTCCACAGGGACATTAAGTGTTTTTTGTGTGGGATCTGTAGGAATTGTCCCTCAAGTACAGCCAAGGGCAACACATTCAATCTTGCGAGAGTAAAGGCACATCTGTATTTTAGAATTGCTAGGTTATGCAGATAGGGTGCCAGAGAGTCGAAATGGGTAGGTGGAAAATAGTCATACCATGGGCAAAATTTCCTTATTGTGGCCAAGTTGTTCTGATGCTCGATAGCATTTAGGCGCTGACAAATTAGACTGTTTGCTTTACTAAAACCCAACGTGAGTTTTAGGGCAGAGATGTTAGCAGTTGTTTTCCGAGGCTGTGGATTTATGGAAATAAAGTAGACAAAAGGAGGAGTGGGATGCCTTAAGGTTCCCTCTACCTGGGCTGGGCTTAACCTGAGGCACTGGGACTCCCCTCTCCAGGCTTTGTAACCTTAAATACAACAAAAGCTGTATTTGTGAGCGCAGATAGAAAAAAGGCACATTGATGGTAAAAATGGCTACTTAAAATTACAAAAACTACATGCACTTTAATATCTTGTGGAGGTGTGTATATGAGGGGGGGTTTTATGTCAAAATAAAAAGTGACCAGTTGTGATGTTTATTTTTTACCTTCCTGAGAAATGGGAAGGGTCCAAATTTTTAAGATTCACCATTGTCATCCCCCCTGCCCCTGCAGATGTGTAACCAAGGAAGAGTGACAGAGTGGGTCGTCGGTGTGTGTTTCTTTATGTTGCTTTATCCACTAATTATTTTGAATTGCAGGCGAATTCCCACATATTTTCTACAGCCATTCCAGCCTCTGGCAATCTAGGAAGTGATGTTAAGAGTCAAAAGTTTCTACTGTCTTGCACAAAATAACATGCATATGCAAGACAGTAAATTGTTGCTGTGGGTGCTTGGAAGTTTTTGCTTATGAGTCATTTTCCTATGATTTCCACTTTTTTTGCAGGCTAAACAGCTATAAGTGCATCACGGACACTCTCCAGGAGTTAGTCAATCAAAGTAAAGCTGCTCCACAGTCTCCCAGCGTGCCCAAAAAACCTGGTCCTCCTGTCTTGACATCAGATCCCAATATGCTAAGCAATGAAGAAGCAGGACATCATGTAAGAAAAAACATGGCATACATTGAATTGCCATTAACTTTGCCCAGGAAGTACTTTTAAACTTGTCATAAATCTAATATCTAGGAGTCAAACAACTGCTTTAGCTATGCCGAAGGAAGGCCTTGAGTAGGCCAAGGAAGGGCCCGCTATTGGATAAAATTCCCTTCAGGACATGTATGTTTTTTCAGATCCAGACTACTAACTTACTGTAAATTTATTGTGAAGCTGTTAGTACAGTTTAACAACCTTCACCTGTATTGTTATTTTTTTCAAAGATCTTTATTGAAACTTAACATAAATGCATAATAACCAAAATTCCCAATGATTCCCTCACATAAAATAGAATATCTAAATTACAACAGCTGCATAATTATACACTTAATTATAAAACCCACCACCCACCCTCTCCTTCCCTCCACAGCAATTTGACTTCTTTATATTTCTTTCTGCCTTCTCCCCCTGGCATTCTATAATAAAATATTTTTGTTAAATTCTGATTTTTCCTTCTTTCTTTATTGATTTTGTTATTTCGACATTTTTATTCTAAGCCTCTTAGCATGTCATTTTTAGAACAATGTTTTGACATATAATCTTCGAAATACTTCCACTCCATTCTTACCTTTTGATTTGATTGATATCTTATAATTGAAGTTAATTTTGCCAATTCTATATACTCATTTAATTTACAAATCCACTCTTCCTTTGTTGGTGTGTCCTGAGATTTCCATTTAGTAGCAACCACTACCCTGGCAGCTGTATTGCATATAAAAAGATTATAAAAACCTTCACCTGTATTATTCATTAGAGGAATTTAAACTGGTGCATAGGAAATGCCTAGTAGGATTAAAAGTGTAATAAAAATATACTGTTAGAGATCTTTTTCAATTCCCTCCCCTTCTCTCATTGCAGTTTGAACAAATGCTAAAATTGGCCCAGCGTTCTACGGATGAACTATTTAGTATTGCTCTTTACAGCTGGTTGGTCCAAGCTGATCTGTCAGATAAACTGCTGCAAGTAAGTAAGGTCACAGACCAAGTTGATGAAGATAAAGAAATACAATGTACGGTGTTTAAGATACACAACTTCATAGTCACATTTCATAAAGCACTGCATTAGCAAGCTAATAGGACTTTACATTTACTCCCTTGATTCCTGCAGATAAACTCTCCCTTTCTGGAGCCATATTTGGCACGTATGGCCAAAGTTGATCAAAACAAAGTTCGCTATATGGATCTTCTGTGGAGGTTTTTTGAGAAAAATGGAAGTTTTAGTAATGCAGCCAGAGTACTTGCAAAATTGGCAGACATGCATAGGTAAGGGTAGCTTGTTATCAGTAATTGCATCTAATGTTGTTGGATTTTATTGATTGATTGATTGATTGATTGATTGCTCAGCCTTCACTGTAAGGTCCCAGGGCAGGTTGAAGTACTTCCTGTCTTCTTTAGTTATTTACTTACGTTACAATTTTTGCAAAGCAATCTTCATGACACTAAGGTAGGACAGAACTTGTGATCCATCAAACTCAGGTATGGCCAAACTTGTCCCTCCAGCTGTTTTTGGGACTACAATTCCCATCATCCCTGACCACTGGTCCTGTTAGCTAGGGATGGTGGGAGTTGTAGTCCCAAAACAGCTGGAGGGACAAGTTTGGCCATGCATGCCTGATCAGACTGAACAAACCTACTGACCAGGTATTGGGGGCTCAACGTGTTTGACAATCTTCCTGTGATTGCATCCCCAAGTTTGCCTCAAAAACAAGATTACTGACCCCCCAGATGAGTCATCATACATGGCTGGCTGGTGAGCTGTGTTTGACTGGTAGATCCACAAATTAAAAGCTTTGAAATGGATCTGCAGGTAAATCAGGGGCTTAATTCTGTTCGAATGCAATCACGTATATGAACATAAAATTAATTATGCAATTCATGTTGTGGAGAACTGGACTTAGGGTTCAGGCTGCAATCCTAGGCACACCTAGAATGTTGAAAAAGTAATAAATATCATTTAAAAAAAAAATCCTAGGCACACCTTGAACTTATAAGAGCTTTTTCTGAGTATGCATGTAGAGTGGGATGGAGACTCTCCAGCCCAGGCATAGGCAAACTCGGCCTTCCAGATGTTTTGAGACTACAGTTCCCATCATCCCTGACCACTGGTCTTGTTAGCTAGGGATGATGGGAGTTGTAGTCCAAAAACATCTGGAGGGCCAAGTTTGACTATGCCTGCTCCAGCCTATGGGCCAGATGTGGCTTGTGGAAGGTTCCTATCCAGCCTGCAACCTCTCTTCCCTAGTCCTGAGCCTCTGCCAGTGGAGGAAGAGATCGCCTTGTTTCTATACTGGGAATGACCTTTTTTCAGCACCCCACCTGATATAGGAGGAAGAGAGATTGCATCCCCCCTCTGGAGATTATTTTGGCTATCTATGGGTCAGGAGAGTGATTCAAACCTACTCCCGATCATGCCCAAGGTATAATCTCAACTAGCCTTAAAGAAGTAGCAATGTTTTCTTAAGACACCAACATGGAAGCTTTTTTTCCATGGCATACAGTGTGGGGGACTCCAGTAGCATAGGATGTGGCTGTAGCTACTAATATAAAAACATTTACATGTATTGAGGAAATTTATTGTGGATAGCAGTTGATAAGTTTTGACCACGTTATCAGATCATGCATCTGTATGTAACGTTTCTAAAACTGAATTTTTATTGGTTTCTATGTATTTCTAGATGGTATAGAAGAAATGGCCAAGGTGCAAGATGCGAGGAGATACAGGAGTAATGGTGTTAGAGCAGTTAGACAAAGACTAACGTACTGCAGAGAAATAGACAGACTGAAGAACTAGATTAAAATATTGAAAACGGCTAACATTCTTGTGATAATTGCTCATAGAAGCTACCATATTAGTCACATCATTATGTCATTTAACAGCACTGAGATCTCACTTCAGCAGCGTCTTGAATATATTGCGCGTGCCATTTTGAGTGCTAAGAGTTCCACAGCCATCTCACCAATAGCTGCAGATGGTGAATTTTTGCATGAATTGGAAGAGAAAATGGAAGTAAGTATGATAATTAATTTAGATGGCATTGATGGATCTCCCTGACCAAGCTGGTGGAGGTGGTCAGGGGTGATGCAGGAGAACCCAGAACTGTGTTCCTGGGAGATTTCAGCAGCTGAAATAAAATATTAAAATAGGCATTTTAGATAAGTTTCCTATTTTTAATAATTAATTGATTTTATCTGTTAATGTGTTTATGTTCTGTTTATGGGCAGCACTTGGAAATTTTGGTAACTAAGTGGTATTTAGGTAGCTAAAATAATCATAATGAGGCCACCTCAACTGTGTCGGCACAGGACTTCATTCTAACTCGAGCAACCTACCATTATTGTGTAACACGGTGGCTGAAATGGCTGCCAGTTTGTTACTGGCCTAGTTTATGGTTTAGTTGTTGACTTATAAAGCCCCAAACATCTTGGTATCCTGTTAATCTGAAGGAGTAACTTTGCCTATATAGACCTAGTCAGCTATTTTGAATTGCAGAGTTCGGAGTCCATATATGTTGTGTGTATATGTAGTCATTGTAAGAAGTGAAATGTTTTGTGTTGGACCTAATTGTAGGTGGCTGCTGATGTTCCCTGAGCTTTTAATTAAAGACTATTGTAATTTTCAACCAGGTTGCAAGGATTCAGTTTCAAATACAGGAAGCATTACTCCGTCAGTGTTCTCATCATTCCTCAGTACAAGATGCCATTTCCCAGCTGGATTCCGAGTTGATGGAAATTAGCAAGGTGATCTTACAGTAATAACAAACATTCCCAGGCTTCTCTGTATTGTGCAAAAAATTCATCTGATATCTTGCAAACCATTTTTTCCACTTAATCAAGAAAAATTGCTCTGCCTCACCAGTTTTTTTAAAAGTGTTTTATTTTACATATTTCATTTTATTTTAGTTCTTTTATAATACACTGTTGTGTGCTGTCTTTAGCAGTCATCACTCTTGTGTGTTAAAAACACTCATATATATATATATATATATATATATATATATATATATTTGCTTTCGTAGATTTTCACGGGTACAGGAATGCAGGTTTTGGTGTCCTCGGTGTCTTCCCGTGTAAAAGTTGGGGTGTCTAGGCGACGTTTCGACGAGGTCTCACTCGTCATCTTCAGGCTGGTGCTTTCGGCTTCTTGTTACTGGAACAGAGCAGGATCTCAGTGTTTGAGTTCCTATAAATACTGTTGAGGGGGTGTGGTGTATAGCCTCCAATGTTCTGGGCAGAGAGGAAGTTCCCAGGCTAGTGTGCCTTTTCTTCTTTTGTTCCTTAATTACTTGAGGGATATCTTGAGTGATTTCTTGAGTGATATTCTGAGTACCACTTAGGTGGGTCATTAGGTGTGGATTAGTTGCTAAAGCCTTCGTGTCTTGACCTCTTGAGCTTTGTGAAGAGTTTTTCTGAGAAGATGGCTGTACTGCACTTAGTTGTGCTCTGGCTTGGCTTCGTGTATAGGGGCGAGCTGTGGTTTTGTGTCCTGTGCCAGCCAGATCTGTGTAGGGATTGCAGGGGGGTGCAGCATCCGGAGGTGCCACCATGGTTTGGCTACTGGATGGTGTCTGTAATTTATCTGTGGAGAGGGTCTGGGTTTGGGTCTGGTGTGGTTGATTGGTGATGGCGTTCTGTGTGCCTCTGGATCTGGTGTCGGTTTTTGTGGGGAGGGCTAATTTCCAGATGTCTGGCAGGCGGGATGTGTCGTCACGCTTGTTCATGTTGTGAGGGTGTTTCTCTATCTCGATGGCTTCCATGATTATTCTCTTGTGGTGATGTTCCATGTTAAAGAGCAATTTGGAATCTGCAAAATTAATTTCGTGTCCTGTTTCTTTCATGTGTTGGAAAAGAGAGGAAGTTTTTCTTCTTTTTTGACGGCATTCTTGTGTTCTGCGATACGTGCATTTATTCGTCTGTTTGTTTGTCCAATGTACGTGGCTGGGCAGACTTTGCAGGGTATTTCATAGACCCCTTGGTTTTCCAACTGGATTTTATCCTTGGGGTTTCTGAGGATATTGGCTATTTTTTGGTTGGTGCAAAAGGCTGTTTTGATATTGTGTTTATGGAGGATTTTGCTAATTTTATCTGTAGTGCCCTTGATATAAGGAAGGAGGGCCATGCCATTGGATTCTGCATAGGGCTGAAGTTGCTTAGCGAGAAATTTAGCGAGATTTTGTAGAGGTGAGCCTATGGAGCTGACTATTGGTCTGAGTGGTGTTCCTTCTTTGTGTATCTTGGGGAGGCCGTAGAGTTTGGGGCATCTGGATGATTTTTCTCTGGGGATGATTCTTAGCTGGATTTCTTCACTGATAGGAGAGGCTTTTATTTTGGATTTGGTGGTTTTTTCCAGATAGGTGGTGGGATCTGTTTTTATAGGTTGGTAGGTGGGGTCTTGGAGTAGATTTGATAGTTTTGCTTGGTAGTCCGATGTGTTCATCACAACAGTGGCATTACCTTTGTCTGCTGGGAGAATGATTATGTTGTTGTCTTTCCTCAGGTTGGTGAGTGCTTTCTGTTCTTCTTTGTGTAAATTGCTTCTGGGTGGTTTGCTGGAGCAGAGGATGTTGGTGACTTCAAGTCTGATTTTATTGGCTTCATCTGGGTTGATTTTGGTTAGGCTAGCTTCGACTCCGCATATGATGTTTTCGGTGGGGATGCGTCTCGGGGCGACTGCAAAGTTGAAACCTTTGGAGAGTACTTTGGTTTCAGTTGAGGTGAGGATCCTGTCTGATATGTTATGTACTGTTTGTTTAAGCTAATCCAAAAAGAAACACCCCCCAAAAACCAAGACACAGAAGAAAACAATGGCATGGCCCTCCTTCCTTATATCAAGGGCACTACAGATAAAATTAGCAAAATCCTCCATAAACACAATATCAAAACAGCCTTTTGCACCAACCAAAAAATAGCCAATATCCTCAGAAACCCCAAGGATAAAATCCAGTTGGAAAACCAAGGGGTCTATGAAATACCCTGCAAAGTCTGCCCAGCCACGTACATTGGACAAACAAACAGACGAATAAATGCACGTATCGCAGAACACAAGAATGCCGTCAAAAAAGAAGAAAAAACTTCCTCTCTTTTCCAACACATGAAAGAAACAGGACACGAAATTAATTTTGCAGATTCCAAATTGCTCTTTAACATGGAACATCACCACAAGAGAATAATCATGGAAGCCATCGAGATAGAGAAACACCCTCACAACATGAACAAGCGTGACGACACATCCCGCCTGCCAGACATCTGGAAATTAGCCCTCCCACAAAAACCGACACCAGATCCAGAGGCACACAGAACGCCATCACCAATCAACCACACCAGACCCAAACCCAGACCCTCTCCACAGATAAATTACAGACACCATCCAGTAGCCAAACCATGGTGGCACCTCCGGATGCTGCACCCCCCTGCAATCCCTACACAGATCTGGCTGGCACAGGACACAAAACCACAGCTCGCCCCTATACACGAAGCCAAGCCAGAGCACAACTAAGTGCAGTACAGCCATCTTCTCAGAAAAACTCTTCACAAAGCTCAAGAGGTCAAGACACGAAGGCTTTAGCAACTAATCCACACCTAATGACCCACCTAAGTGGTACTCAGAATATCACTCAAGAAATCACTCAAGATATCCCTCAAGTAATTAAGGAACAAAAGAAGAAAAGGCACACTAGCCTGGGAACTTCCTCTCTGCCCAGAACATTGGAGGCTATACACCACACCCCCTCAACAGTATTTATAGGAACTCAAACACTGAGATCCTGCTCTGTTCCAGTAACAAGAAGCCGAAAGCACCAGCCTGAAGATGACGAGTGAGACCTCGTCGAAACGTCGCCTAGACACCCCAACTTTTACACGGGAAGACACCCGAGGACACCAAAACCTGCATATATATATATATATATATATATTGCATATTTCTTGTGGAGTTCCGTTATTGGAAGATTGAACAGTTTTTTTAAAGAAAATATTTTGTTATTTAGGGTATAGGTATGCTATTCATTATTTTATTTAATGTGTGTAAACTGCCTATTAATCCAATTATACTTCATTCTGCATTTGATCTATGTGAATGATCAAACTTGTTTTTAAATTGCAGCTTTATGGGGAATTTGCTGATCCATTCAAACTCTCAGAATGTAAACTGGCTATTATTCATTGCGCTGGTCATTCGGATCCTATCTTAGTGCAGACACTTTGGCAAGAAATAATTGATAAAGGTAGGTTCAAGTACTTAGAAGAGATGCCTAGAAGCACACAACATTATGAAATGACTCACTTCTGTGTTGCTCTTCAGTCCAGTTTGCGGGGTGGGAAGGAATTGACAGGAGTGAGCTGGAAGTAAATCACACCATGCAAGTTGGAGTCAACCGTTTATTAGCAAGAATATGATCTGCATAGATTTGGCAGAGTAGCTTAATCTTCTTCAGCAAGCAGGCTGTCAGATTCATTAGCAAAAAATAAACCTTGCAAATGAAAGGTCTAGGCTTTATTTATGAGTTCATTTCATCCTACTTCTTTTATTATTAACGGTAAACATTCAACAACTCTGCCAAAAAGCTTAGTGTCATGGTTTCTGTGTTCTTAGCCTAGAGAGAGCATAATTTGTATCACCAGAATATTGTTTTTAAACCATCTGGAGTCCTATGAAACTGGAAACTCATTCATAGCCCACCTATAGGAGGGTAAATTGACATGATTACTTTTTTTTAGTTGGTTCTGCATGTTGAAAATGGAAATAACATAAATGCAAGCATTTAATTGATCTTCTAAAAGAGTGTCTTTTCTATTTCAGCGCTGAGTGACAGTGTGACTATGAGTGCTCCTGACAGAATGCAGGCTCTTAGCCTGAAGATGGTAATGCTTGGCAAAATCTATGCTGGGACACCTCGCTATTTTCCATTAGGTATATAATTCAAATTAAGGATATTTGGAGATACTGAAAAATAAAATAACAGAATAAAACAAAGAACGAACAGGAAATAAATCCAATAATTCTTCCAAGAGTCTATGTTAGATCAAAGTCAGTACCTTCTGTATTATCAAGTACTGAGCTGTCAAATTCCATATAAAATATTTATTAAAAGTGTGGGTGGGAGAAGCCCTACTTAAGAATTTGCCTGAATGTGTATGATTTAAAAGACTCTTGGGCTGGGGTTTGGGGTGGTGGTGTTGCTGTTATTTATATTAATTTATTTCTATCTTTTAGATCTTATTATTTATATGGAAATTGTTCGATTTTGATGTGTTGTTTTTGCTGTTTTATTGTTTAGACTACTTTTGCTATGTTTATAATTATGTAATTATTTTCATATTGTAAGTTGCCTTGAACATGGCTTAAACTATGAAAAGGCAGCATAGAAATAAAAATGATGTATGTGGAAGGATGTAGCTTCCACACAAGGCCTGTCCTGAGACATATAAACTCCACCCGGAGCCTTCCCAAAAGCACCTTGTGTATGCATTTGACTGAATGCTCTTAGAAGACTGCAAAATGGAAGGAAGAATGTGCTTTGATTGTGAGGAGGCTTCTGTGCATATTCATTAGTTTCAAATAGATTCTGCATGTACCCAGGCTCAAAGCAACATATGAATTACTCTGAACAGAATTAGAAGTAACTGTAGGCAGTGACCATGTGGAGCACAGGAGCAGTGTTATAAGTATGTGGAAGGTGCACACAATTTTCCATTTAGAGGTAATGCCCTCATATGCAGTTGAGTCATACCCTGAATACTGAAAATACACATTCTTCTTTATGGCCTCCATAGCTCCCAGAAATGGGTATGCATTTGCATAGGTCCCATTTTCCTTGAACTCTAGGGTAGCAGGGATTTTGTCCTCGCCTATAGTCATCACATGGAGGTGAGGCAAACACCTTCCCAGTCATTTCTCTCAAGCCAAACTTGAAAAGAGCAGAACGCCTTTGGTTATCGCTGAACTAGAACTAGTTGTTGTTGTGAACTAGGAAGTCAAATGGTCAGAGTCCTCAAACAGTCTCTTCAGAACTTTCTGTTCTGCCAGGTTGACTTAAGTGAAGGAATTCACAGGCATATAGAAGAAAGAATAGCAACTAAACTTTGCAGTAAATGATTTGCATCTCACTGGCCACTATTTTCCCCCCTTAGATTTCTTAGTGCAGTATCTAGAACAACAAGTTTGTTCCTTGAACTGGGATGTGGGTTTTGTAACTTACACAATGCAAGAAATTGGTGTGCCGCTACCAAGACTTCTTGAAGTATATGATCACCTATTCAAAGCACGGGTAAGAGGAAAAACTTAGCATATTTTCTTGTTGATCTGTTGTTTAAATTCCATATCATCACAAATGATGGGGGTGGACCACAGAATACCAGTTTTTAAAAGGCATATCACTGCTGAGATACTAACAGGAAGAAAATTCTAGGTTTGTACTGGGCCAGACATTCAAAATGTGTTTGTAGCTAGTAGACATTGATCCTCATGTAGTAGATTGTGACTCTATGAGCTCATTAAATTGGTCCGTAGAATATCAACTTGCTGCCTCAGCTGCCTCTTAGGTTGTGTTGAGGACCTTTGTTCGCTACTGCTTCATTTGTTGCTGCCTCTCCTCCCCCATTGTTTTATATGCAGGTGGGGACCAAGTTAGCACCCTCAGTCTGCTTTTGCAGCCAAATCACATCTTATCTGGCACAGCTGTATTTACACTCATCTGTATCATATCTAGTAAGGTCCAGCTGTCAAGCCTATTGCCACCTACTTTTCCACAGGCTCCTCTATTTTTAATAGCTGTATATAAGACTTGAATTTTACAAGTGCAGTTCACCAAACGGGTGAAAATGCCACACCTACCAACATACTGGCCTTGTATACAATGATTAAAGGTTCAAAAATACCTTGTTACTCTTTTTTGCCCCCATCTTCTACCCCTCCCCCTACTCAGTTTCTTTCATTTTCTTTAAAAGCAAGACTCGTGATGCCACAAGCAGGAGCCACTTTAAATTGGAGAACTACCCAGTAGTTGAAGACCAGTGCTATAGAGCACTGACAAAATCTTTTTTTAAAGAACAGCACAGCCCATCTTCTGAACAGTTGCTGTGACTGGGGGGAGGCTCCTTGGTTCGTTTCTGTGGCTTACAAACCATAGCCTCACTGACTTTGCAACAAGCCTTATTTCAGCTGCAGCTGCTGAAAGTGAACCACCATTTTTCATTTTAAACTGAGCCTAGTGTGCCCATGTTGTATAATACCACAGCATAGTAGACAGAGTTGCCATAAGTTGCATGGGGCTACTTCTGTCAAGGATATGAGTTGGCAAGGGAGGGCAGCTAAGGTAAGTAGGAGGCTTGTACAACTGCATGGGTAGGAGGTAAGAATTTTGGAGGTTATGTAAGGATAGGAAAGAACCCTCTACATCTTTGTTAGCTAGGTAAACTTCTGAAATTTGTAATAAAACCTGACATACAAGTTCAGCCCATAATAATCGCCTGTCATTTCTTTGTTATAACAGGAACATTAATGCATAAATTTTAGTATTTTGGGTACTGACATTTTGGGTTTTTAAAAATTATTTATTTCCATTTATATGCTGCTTCGTTGTTAAAAACCTAAAAGCGGTTTACAAAAAGATATAACGGGGGGGGGGGACACAATCCTACATTAAAACATACAACATCTAAATACTAAAATGGATTAAAATTGTCTCAACTTTCTAAGCATGTAGGTAGGCTTGTCTAAACAAGAATGTTTTTAGCAGGTTCCAAAAAGGGTACAGTGAAGGAGCCTGCTTGATCTCACTAGGCAAACAAATGCAGAATGGGTATTATGTGGCATTCTGTAGTACACTCAACATGTTGATGAATAATTTCCAAATTCTCATGTATTTTTCTTTTTTCTTTACAGGATCCATACTGGAGTAAAATGAAGAAGCCTTTGCACCTTTTGGAATGCATCCATGTATTATTATCAGCATTTGTGCAAGAGCCTAACAAAATTCTTGCCTTTGAAAGGTACTTCTTTGAATGCAGATGCTATAAACAAACTTAATACATGCTGGAAATGCTTGCCAGATGAACTGATCTGGACTCTGCTATCATCATCTGAGACCTTTCTTTGTGTGCCTTTTCTGCAAGAGGCCTGGAGGGTGGCCTCACGACAACTGCTTTACTGCTTGTGGGATGCTCTCACCAGGGTGACTCACCAGGCACCTTCATTACATATCTTTAGGCGTGAGGAAAAATATTCCTCTTCTGCCTGGCATTTGGCCAATTAAACAATCTATTGCCTTTTAAACTGTGTTTGTGGTAGGTTTTGTGTTTTTGTTTCTCTGTGTTTTTATATTCTAAACAGCCCTGCAAACCTTATATGAAGGGCAGTATAGAAGTTTAATTAATAAATAATGCAAGTGGTGATTTAGAAAGTAACATATAAGCAAAGAAGGCAGACTGCTGAAGCTTACCATGCTAAATTGTATACATCTTGCTCAGAACTGACACATCTCGCTACAACCACCAGCATATCCCATTGCCAGCTTTGTTGCAGAGGATCACTGACCCTAACTATAGCTTAAGATTTAGAGGCAGCACATTTCTCTACAAAGTTTTGGGTCTCTGTATCCTAACAAACTAAAACTAACTGTTTTCTTTCTTTCTCTTTAGGCGGCGATTCACAAATATTTGCTTGGATGCTGTTAGCTGTTACCTTGTTGAACTGCAGTCCATAAGTCCAACACTAGCTGTACAGACAATTACAGGGAACTTTAAATCTCTACAGGCTAAATTAGAACGGCTTCATTGAGTGATGCACAACTATTTCTTCAGGTGGAATGAACTGTCACTGCACTGGAATCTGAAAAGGCAAATGCTTCTTAAAGCATTAAAACAAGCTGTGGAGCTTATCATAGTTCTGTGTTGTCTGTTCTTAACTAACCTCACATAGAATGCAGAATGGCAGGTTGTTTCTCTTCTTTTTTTACTACTAAATTTTTCTAGCAGTGAAACAGTTTTATATGCTTTGGATTAAAATGCATTGTATAATCTTGCCCTGGCAATTAAAATTATTTTTAAAATGGGTTTCTCTATTAATTTTGCATAGAATTTACACAAGGTGCTTGGACATAAAAGTGGAAATCATACAGCTATCTATTTGAGAGTTTGCTATGAAAAAGAGGCTTAGGATTATAAATGGCAACTATAGGCAACTCCCCACTTGGGCACTACTGGGCACATGTGTGGTGCAGGGAAATTGGAAGTGGTGGGAGAGCTGGAAAGTGGCTTGCAAGGAAACCCAACATCTTGGAGGGCCCTGGTTTAGATGTTGCACACATGCTGTATCATGCATAATCTTAGAAAAGTTATTCTCTCTTAAGTGTAAGAAAGTGAGAACAGGCCTGAAATCTGCAGTTTTTATAAGCACATGTACTCAATGAATCAGGATATATCTTTAATTGATTAAGAACACCAACCCTAGTGGCCTCAAGTAGAAGAAGACATTGACAACAGGAAATCATTTTTTAAGATGTGTTTGCTGTTACAGATATTATTTATAGTTATTATTTATTTTGTTTAGCCAAAGCTATTACAAAAGATAAAACTCATAAAACATAATAAAAATGGAATAAACACATTACAGTTAAAATTACTATTGAAACCAGACAATCTGTCATAAGTTTACTTTCCTGAATAATTTAGTTTATAATCCCCACAAATTTTTCTCTTAAAATTGCTGCTCTAAAGGCAAAGCATGTCACTTTTTTAGAAAGTGCCAGGGCACCTGTCCTTTAGTAAAAAGTTAATCAAAGACCCGATCATTGTCTCAGCTGGGAGATTTAAATATTTTAACAAGGCTGCTCTTAAGGCCTATATTGGGTAAACTAGTAAGGTTTTTTGTGTGTGTATTTTATGTATTTGTATATGTTATTGTGTGTATTGCTTATATATCCACTTACCTTAGACTAAACTTCATTAAACTCAGTAAGACTTGCTCCTTGGTAGGTAGGTATACATATAAATATGTGTATACATATATAGCATATATATAGGATAGAAATCTTGTGCACACTTACCAGAGAGGCAAACTGTACTTCACTGCATGGGCTTTCTGAAACACACGATTCCCTACAACAATTAAGAAAATGTTACGGGGGTGTAGTCTTAAAGGAGCCCTGCATAACTTACACACCATGGGTAGGCAAACTAAGGCCCAGGGTCCGGATCCGGCTCAATCACCTTCTAAATCCGGCCCGCGGATGGTCCGGGAATGAGTAAAATGTGTCCTTTCATATAAATTGCATCTCTGGGTTATTTGTGGGGAATTTGTTCATTTTTTTCCCTTCCAAAATATAGTCCCCCAAGGTCGCTTGCTGAAAAAGTTTGCTGACCCCTGACTTACACAGTCCTGTGGCACCTTAAAAACTGAGCAAATTTTATTACAGCGCAAGGCTTTCGAGGGTCGAAGCCAAAATTTAAGCCTCTTGAGACCAAGGATGGGGAAATCCCTTTAGATATCGTTGGACTCCAGCTCCCATCAAGCCCTGTGCGCAGCAAGGATGATGGGAGTTGTAGTTCAACAGCGTCTGAGAAACCACTAGCATCCTAGCCCAGCTTTTTAAGGTGCCACAAAGCCTTTTTGGAGAGGAGGCGCGTCTGGAATCCGCACAGGCTGCGAGTCCAGCGCAGGGGGCTAGAAAGCGGGCTCGAGCGACGACCGAAACGATATAAAAGACGGGGCGGCACGGCCTCCAATCTCTGCCCGTTAACTGCCGACTCTTGATTCCCATTACAACGGTCGCCGAGCGACGCATGCGCATTCGGTCGCTCAGCTCCTCCCCCACCCCTGCGGTTGGTCGCTCGGGAGGCAGTTGGGAGCCGCGAGGAAGGATAACCGTTGGCGCTGAGGGGGAGAGGGAGGCGGTGACGAGACGACGACGCGCACGGTGGGTCCGCGAAGGCGGCGCCCGCTATGAGGAAAAGGAGGCGGCTAGGGAAGAGCTCTCGCCCACCCACCCTACTCGACCTCTCTATTTCCCACAAAAATGCGCTTATCGCTTCTCCAGCCGGGGGTGGACTGAACCTACAGGTGCCCGAGGTTGAGTGGGGGAGGCAGCTTCCTTTATATTGGGGGGGGGGGGGCGCCAGGCAAAGCTGGTCGGCAGCTTCATCTGTCTGTCTATCTGTTTATCTGTCTATCTATCTATCTATTTATCTATCTGCATATGCATATATGCAGAGAGGGGGTAGGCAGACAAAGCTGGTCGGCAGCTTTGTATATTGTATAAAATCTGTATGCTGCAGTTATTCTAACTAAACAATCTGTGACCTGGTGGGTCATTGCTTTATTGTTATGTATTTCTGGATGCTGGAAACCGCCCTGGGATCCTGAGGTGAAGGGCGGCATATAAATTTAATAAATATTGATGGTGCTGATAGCACTTGGAATACAGTGTATAATAAATCTGTTGCTGCCTCTCAGAAGTACCAACCTCACCTGTGTAGGGAATGGATGCTTATCCTTCTCCCCGATCCAGTTATGGGTTCTGTGGTCCCTCTTAACTGCTCTTTGTTTTGTTTTTTGCCCACACTCCCCAACCCCCTGCATGAAAGTGAAAGTAGACAGACTGCCTTTGATAACAGCAAATGCTCCTGTCCCCGAAAATAATATCAAAGTAATCAGGGCTAGAGCAATTTCCTTATGAGGAAAAGTTAGGGGGGGTGGAAATTAGCAAGGGTGGGACATGATCAAGGTGTATCAAGTATCCTTTTCTCGGTGCTCGAACCCCAGGGTGTGAAATGCTTTTTAATACAGCGGCAACTCATAGTTAAATTTCAGCCTTCACTAGGATAAGATGTAGTGACTGCCACCAATTGTGCTTTAAGGATTAGACTAATTGATGGTGGATAACGGTTATTAGTCATTATGACCATATGTTGCTTTCAGGATTAGAGGCAGTATGCAGTCATTGGAGAACAACAGCAGGAGAGTTTATTGTGCCCATGTCTTGCTTGTAAGCTTTCCAGTTGGCCACTATGTGAGACAAGATGCTACACTACATAGGCCTTTGGTCTGATCCAACAGAGTTTCTCTTACATTCTTTTTACAATGGTGTACATTAATGTGATAGAAGTTGTTCTATAAGTTTGATTGTCTCTATAGTTATGTTCTTTTTTTACAGCCATGTAAAACGACGTTCCCTTTTTGAAAAGTTTAATGGCTATACTACCTTTTAATAATCATGGAAATTAAACTGGAAGTTCTAACTTCTACATGTATCAAGCAGAGGAAGCCATGGCCTCAAATCACTTGGCTGGGACAGGTAATCAATCATCTGCTATTTTTGTATGATACAGTAGGGGCACAACACATCTAGAATTCAGCCTACTCGCTGAAGTGAATAGTACTTAAAAATGCTTGATTAGATTGTGTTCTGTGTTTGGTTATATTGCAAAGAACTCATCCTTTAGAGACCAGTAATAAAAATACAGATTTGTTAGGAAATTCAGGGCATATTATGGTTATGTCTGCAACTGCCACTTCGTTTCACAGGATTTAAATTCTTTAAATATGAAATAAATAAAAAAAGTGTAGGAATTCTGTTAATATTAGTTTTCATATGATTTGTTTCCATGTGTTAAAAGACACTGTCCATTCCTTTATTCATCTATTTATACAAAAAAATTGTATACAGCTAAATTATAAAAATATATCAATGCAGTTTACAACATTAAAAAGATAAAAACCGTACAATAAAGTGTAAAAAGTTAAAAACAATTTAAAAGCTAAAAAGTTAAAAACAAGTATCAATAAACATTATGGAAGGATGAATTCTTAATTGCCTGCATAGGCCTGGCGGAATAGAAGCGTTTTCAGCAATTGTCACAGAAGGTGATCGCTGAATCCTCTATTAGTAGAGTGTTCCACAGGTCTGGGCTGATTACACTGACATGGTTTCTCTGTTGTCAAACAAGCCTCACCCACCCGGGGAAGCAGCTCCAGTGTTCACTTAGTCCTCCTATGTAGGAACTTCTATGTTACATCTTTTCTGTGATATGCAAAAGACCCTTTTAGCAGTGGGGAACTGTCTTTTTGTAAGCATGAGCGAAAGTTCTGTATACATAAGGCATTGCAGTGCAAGCATGGTGTGGTGTTTTTTTTTTACAATTTTGTGCTTCTTTTTCTGTGATTCTAGCATTACAGTGGTACCTCAGGTTACAAACACTTTGGGTTACAAACTCCGCTAACCCGGAAGTAGTACCTCGGGTTATAAACTTTGCCCCAGGATGAGAATGTAAATTGTGCGCTGGTGGTGCAGCGACAGTGGGAGGCCCCATTAGCGAAAGTGCACCTGAGGTTAAGAACAATTTCGGGTTAAGAACGGACCTCCAGAACGAATTAAGTTTGTAACCCAATGTACCACTGTATACAATAGTTGTGCTTATTCAGGTATTAGTTTCCAGGAAAAATGTGGAAGTAGGTACCTAAATAAAAGGCTTTCTTTCTTTCTTTATAATAGGAAAAGGAGGCTCTTTTTCTTTTAGATGACAAAAGTATAAATGAAATTAATCTGCTTTCGGGGAGGACAAAGAAGATCCCCCAGTTACATCCCTTCCTGAAGAATGTTGTTGTCTTAACAACTTCAAGAAATGGTTAAGTATCAGCACTAACAAGTTGTTACATGATTTTATTTTTTGAATTTATTTAAATAAATTGTGTTTCTGACAATTAAAAATGTACTGGCTCTCTACTTTGTGAGAGCAGTGTCTAAGTATCTTAAATAAATAAACAAGTAAAGGGTTTCCACTGCTACCACCTTACCCTCAATATAGTTCTGATCTAAAACTATTTAACGACTTGGGACCAAAGGGGGGGGAAATAGTGTAGTCTTATGCATGTTTTCCTGGGAGTAACCTAATTGAACCTAGTTTACTCCCTTCTGAGTAAATATGCATGAAATAGTACTGTTTGTCTAAAATGTTGCACTTTGAACAACAAAATTCTCCTTAATCAAACAGGAGCTTGGTTGGCAGGGATACTTAAAACAGGAGAACTCTTTCTTTGGAACAAAGACCAAGACACTATAAAAACTGTCTTGGCAGCTGAAGAATGTAAGAAGGTGGTTTTAGCAGCACAAGGTAGGAATATTTAATTAATATTTTAATTAACATTGTCCTTTCCCCCATTTATTTTGTTCAAAAAAAGGTTTTATCAAACATTGCGATTTTGCTCATCATTTAACAACTAAAATGAAGATGTTGATTTTATTCATGACTTTCTGAGTTACTTAATAGTGTTTATATTTCAAAGAGAAATGACTTGTTAAGCTAAACCTTAGCATATATAATGTATTTTTATAGAACAGGGATGGAGAAGCTTTTTGGCCCAGTGGGCTCATGGGCCAACTTTGGTTAGTGGGCATGGCCACCCACCTATCAATATTCAGCTGGCACGATGTCACGTGACTGATAGTTGGGCAGTTCCACCCACCAGGGCATTCATACCAGGGAATGTGCTGAGGATGCAGCACCTAGCAGGATTGAACCCCACACATCAACTGACATCAGCGAATGGACCGGTGGGTGTGTTTGGCGGGAAATGGCACCATGGGCCTTATTTGGACCCCTTGGCAGGCCAAGATTGACCCATGGTTGAGAGGTTCCCTACCCCTGTTTTAGAAGGTAACCAGAATCATATTGAGGGCAGTAAAAAGATTATACTGCTTCTTAGTGAAGTATGCTATTCTTAGTTCTGTGCTATTATAAGTACTAAACATGATATCTTAGGTTTAATCTTTGTATTGTGTTCATTGACTTTTATACAATAAAAACTTAGCACAGTAGCTGATGTCAAACACTATTAAAACTATCAATGTATTTTGGATAGATCATGTAAAGAATGAGAAGCTGCATTAACACAACATTATTTTCTAGACTGTTCAATGAGATTATACCTATATGTTTCTGGTGATGGAAATAAGGTTCTTCTCACTACGCCAACTGCCAGTATCTTTCTATGGGAAAGCGAGGAATGTAAAAGTACACCAGCTAAAGGTTGTGCAATGGGACAGTGGTCACAAATTATTCCTGAAGCGTCAGTTGTATTACCATCTGTTGAAGAGAAAGAAACGTCAGTGAGTGTTGACTTCATCCAAAATGAGGTAAACAGTAAAATCGGTCTAATTTTTATAGATTCAGTAAGCTGTGTATGTAAAAT